AAACATTTTTAGCTAGTTAAAGCTAGACTTTAAGCCTTTTTTGCCGCCAAAAAGCCCGCGCTTTTCACTGCTAGTGGGCTATAACATATATAGCCTAGTAGTAGCTCAACCAATCAGAACGCAGTATTGATAATAGAACACTAGTTGGATTTTACTAAAGCTGATTAGATCTTTTATTAGGATCCGGTCTTTCTTTTTTGTAAGTTGGTCCTTGCTTTCAAAATTGAATCTACTCGTTTATAGTGTAAATCGAACTCATTTAAAACCCAGGTGAACGAGTTTCGGGTGTGTACAAAAAGCGGAGAAGTAATTCAACTATAATTATCCTGAAAATTTGATTTTTATCGTAGGTTCGTTCGTGTACAGTTGAGTCGACTGCTTGGTGCAAATCAGTGGTGGGAAATAACGATGATGTAAGCTAACATGTGTCACATGTGGGATTGGTCAGCCTTTTTTATTTTTTTTCATCCCCGTTTTTCGCCTTTTTCCTCCACTGGTAAGCCTAACCCTTAAACATCACAAACTCCAATTATGATGCAGATGCGAGCATACTTTTAAATGATTTGGGGTGGCAAAACCTTGAAACTCAGCAGCAAATTCAGAAGGTTGTGATGGTGTATAAATCTTTGAATTGCCTTGCACCTGATTACATGTCTTCAATATTCATACTACGCAGCGATTTATCTAATTCTTATAACCCTAGAGATACTGAAAACAAGCTTGCTGTTCCCTTGCCACGAACCAATTACTACAGAAATAGCTTCTGCTACAGCGGCGCTGTTCTGTGGAACAATTTGCCCACTGATGTAAGACAAGCAAAACCTCTGACTGGCTTTCAGAAACTGTTAACTTCTAGCTCGAACACGGCATTCATGGAAAACAGGCTTTAATTTTATAAATTAATTTTATTTATTTATTTATTTATTTATTTCAACATTCATCTTTGTAAATGCTATTACCGTTAATTCTATAGTTTGTAAACGTTTTTACGATATTGTATATTTAGCCTGATTGTTTTTAGCCTGCGTAACAGGCGCTTGGAAGTAGTGGGCACAAGAAAAAACGGGCGCGCGAGGAGGCGCGTGTCTCCCTCGCGCGCGCCCGTTCTCTCTTTCGCCCGCTACTTCCAAGCGCCTGCTACGCAGGTTAGATTGTTTTTATCGTTTATAAATAAGAGTGGTGTTGCCTAATCCCAGGCTAGGGCCGAGTGGTCTGAAGTTAATTTTACGTTCACCTGAAACCACCAATTTATTTTCAACCTTCGTTGATTTTTTTTCGCTACAGACCGCTACAAAAATACGACTGTTTCGAGAAGCTTACAAAAAGCACGATAAACTCATGAAAGACGCTGTCAATGGACAAGGTACTTAGGACGTTTTACCGTAAAACTACAAAAATAGCAACCTCCGACAATAATAGCGTCCCCCCCCCCCAAAAAAAACCTCAAGTTGCGGCTCGATGATTGCTATTGATCTCGAATGTTTTGATCCCAGAATGTTGTTGTTTTTAGTAATTGATCAAAAGGTAAAGGGAAGAAATTAAAGCAACATTTGCCATTTCAGGCTTCTTTGACGTTTGTGCTTCATCTATACCGATGACATGCGTACAAACAAATTGTGTTTTAGCTGTCGACTTGCATTTCTGTTAACGGTTTGAGAAGTCAACTATTTTAAACACCCACCCCCCCCCCCCCCCCTACGCCCGAAGAAAGGGATCCTACCAGACGTCTAATCCCCAAAGTAGAGCTGGCGAGGCTTTAGGTAGAGCTGAATGGGCCATCGATTTTCTCACAATCAGCTGTCAAAAGAATGCTTTCTAACTGATAGCTGAGATCACAGCACGTTCCCTGTAACTGAGAAGTGGTTAAATGAATTGTTTGTTACTGATGGCTAAGCACCCTCTTGCAGACCTTTAAAGTAACGAGTACACTGCAAAACGATCGTTTTCTTTTTCTCGCAATTGCTTTTCAAGCCGCGAAGCGCGAGAGGGGAAAAAACCCTTCTCTTCCCAATTTCACACTCGACTTTCACCCTCACTCTAGAACGTTCGTATCAACCGTACGACCCCGCTCGCTCGTTCTTGACTTACTGTCAAACAACGCTCGCTTCTTTCCAAACCTCGCAGCATTGTATTTCAGTCATCGGGAAGAAATTTTAGTCAATACTCTAACGAGCTAAGCAATCACCTCCGGTCGCTAAGGTTTACCACTCAATGACACGGTTTTATCTATCTCTAGGTATTGACCGTCATTTGTTGGGATTACAACTAGTCGCTGCTTCAGAAGGTGAGAATTAACATTCTCCAGCTGAGGGTTGATAAGCGTGCCAGCCCCTCTTGGCACAAATAGATCCTTCCACGGTTTTTTCAACTTTTAACATGGACCAGTTAGTGAAAATTCGTCGACACCACTGAAAAGAGCGCCTTAGAATTAGCAAAATTGCCAAGTTTGAAAATGATTTGTTAAAAACTAACGAATGTTTAACTCCTCAATGTCGCGAAATTTTGCAGACGTTTTTATAATGGGGGGGGGGGAGGGGGGCGGGGCACAAACCTGCTCCCCCAGCATACAAACGTCTGTAAATTTTCGCAACTTTGCGGAACTAAATCTTCTCTCGCTAAATAATGATAATAATAATAAATAATAATAATCTTTATTATACTTTTGTCGATGTACATGGGTAATATTGCACTCCAGGAAATTTGATTACAGTACAAGATATATTAAATATAACGAGAACAATGTGCAAGCTAGGAAGCTAAATGAAGCAGTTGGTTTTCTTGTTAGCTCCCTGAACAATTTAGGTTCTAGGTAGCAGATAAAATCAAAGGAAATACAACGAAAAAAAAGAAAAGCAAAACAAAGTAGGAAGAACTTATATTTCCATGAACTATGTTGCTTCATCAACAAGACGAAAAATTATTTCATTTGTTGTTCTTGCAGTAGAAAGCATATAATTTTCTTCGGAAATGCAGACGCCCTTTCAAATTTGGCAATGTTACTAATTTTTAGGCGCTCTTTCCAGTGGTGTCGACTGATCTTTTCCTTAACTTGTCCATGTCAAAAGTTGAAAAAACCGTGGACAGGATGGGCTCCTGCTGTGAAAGGATGTATTGGAGACACATCTAAATAAAACTAAACAACTAATTTTAAGTGTTCACGACGAGTTGCTACCCTTGCTTCTTCCAAGGTTTTTCCTGGACGAATCTCTAGAGAAAAGGTACCAAAATGCAAAAATGCGTTGAAGTCATGAAAGTAAAAGAAAGATCATAACAAAGACTTCAGCTCCATTCCCTCCCACACCCCTCAATGATAGATTTCATGTCTCTTTTACAAATCAGCACGTATTGTTGACCTAACAGCTCTCAACAGTTAACATAGTTATAATAATAATAGTAATAATTTAAACATATTTATACAGGATTGCTGCATCAGTTTTAAGAAAAAACTGCGATCAATGCAGGTCCTGTAAAAAATTAAAAATAAAAAAAAAATTTAAAATGTGGATAAAGATCAAATTACAATATTATAAAATAGTTACACTAAACGGAAGATTCGAACAGTTATAAATTCTAAGAATTATTAGTTCGTACAATCTTGAAAAGGTCTTGAATTTTACTAGTCGTCTTGAAAAGTTCTTGAATTCGGTTTAGGTCCTTGAAAAGTACTTGAAGTCTTTATTAGGTCTTGAAATGTCCTTGAAATTCACAACCTTGTCTATGCCAGTTGATTATAAATGGTATGGTCTGCAGTCACGTTCAGGGGCTTGATGTTATGCCTGTCCCAATGCCCGACAGTGTTCGAACGCGGCTGACCAGTTCACATCGCAAATAAATTTCTAGGGATTAGTGAGCTCGGCAACAGTTCGTTTGGTCACTTACTTTAGGTGAACACCAGAGAAAGCGAAAACCAACACATTTTATTAAAATTACAACGATTTAGAGTTGTCCAAAATTGTTATGAGCAACAAATGTTCGAGAAATACTATGGATATTGAAGAAATAGTTAGTAGGTAAAATGAATTTAACGTTCAGATCAAAGAAATAAATATGCGGAATTTGGGAGAAATATGCGATCTTACTTTAATATTAGATGTACAATCAGGAAAAAGCAAAATTGTATTTTAAGTTTTGGTAGTACGCATGCGTTCAGGTATGGGCCATTCAAAGGGACGGCTGTCCCACATGCAGGCAAATTGCGGCTCGAATTACTCGTTCCAGTAACATGTAGTAAAGGCAAGACCGTACTTACTAGGATCATTTCTATAGTACGCGTCCCGTCTTTGTACCCTAACAAAGACAACCCCATCAACCGTGATGACGATGCGAAGCGTTCACCTCTGAGCGCGAAGCACGTCGACGACTTTGCCTTCACGGCAAGCGGTCGCTGGCGATTGATGACCGTTCCTCTTCCTCCATTAGCGGGGATTAGGAGGAGGTGATCGCATTCTGAGCGGTTGACCTTTTATATCTTAAAGTAAAGAAAGAATTAAACAGAGCATGAACATTGCTGCCTTTGTCATTTATAGATTCACAACCCCATGTTTGGCCAAAGTACTATCCCGTTTGCGACAATAGCTCTCTACTTTTTGAACGAGAGCGGGTGATTTAAATACCTCTGAATATGTCGTTATTTATTTACGTATAGCTTCGTCTATGAACGAGAGAAAACTTACGAACATGGGTTAAATATCTCTTGAATGGTGATTTAATTCTGAACTAATTTTACCCGACGTTTAAACCCGTGAATTTCATACTTAGTCGTATGCTTTACGAAATAAAAATTAACTTTAAAAAAGCCACGTGTGATGAATCTCTGGTTAGATGTATTTACATGTATGATTCAGACAGGTATTTATATTTAGCGCTTCTGTCAGCGTTGTTGCTGAGTTCATTTGCAAGTCGAATGCAACTCAACAATTGTTTTTCGTTTGTAAACTATATCCTGCGTGACGAATTATTCGTGACTCAATACTCAACGCTATCGAATGTCTATTAGCTAGTCATGTAAAAAACACAACACAAATCCGTTTCGTCCGCCTTCAAACTTATACAGAGAGTACGTCCTCTGCTCGTACGTGAACGATGTTAACGTTCATCAACAAGGGATCTTTGCTCCTCAAAGTGGATATGTAGTTTATAGTTAGCTTTAACAGATAAATATTGCTTTTTTTATTGACACCCGTGTTGTAAAATGCATGCGTTAGCACGTGATTATACTTCACGGACTCTTAGCTAAAACGTAAGCGAAGTACTGCTATATTTTCAGTGAAAACGATTTTCAAAAAAATAGCCTTAAGCAAGTTTTAGTTTTTCGCCAAACCGTAAACTCGTTTAAAGGCAATTTACTTAAACATGGTGTAAAGTTGTTTTTCTCAATAATTTTATTTAACACAACTGAACTAAGTTCAAGCTAAATATGATCTAAGCCATGTCGAAACATTAAAATACACCTTGTTGATGTAAACGGTACTCGAGAAAGCTTCTAAGTAAATCGTTTGGAATGATCCGATTAAATTTTACAAGGACAAGTTCAATTTCCTGCAAGTGTGCGTTAAAACTATATTTATAAGATGATCACTTTTTAAATCCACCGACAGCCATAACAATCGAAGGCAGTTTTGAGGTTTCTTGCGTGTGCCCCGTTCGAAAAAAATATTAGGGATCTTAAGATCCGAGGACGGCGACGGCAGAGAAAACGTCGCTGAAAAAGTGAATTCGCGTTCTGTCAGTCTTCATCGCGATTACTCCAAGTCACTTACTTTGTCAAATGTAGGCGAACCCTCCTAAAGTGGAATTCCTAAGAACCCAATCCAAGTTCAGAAGGAGGGAGAAAATTTCGTCGTCACTTGTATACTTCCTCTTTACAACGTGAAATTAGGTATTTCACGTCGTAGTCGTGCAGTGACGGCAAAGAAATGTACAAAAAAGCATGATGCACGTGCAAAATTGTTGTTTTGGTTATTAAACCTATCGCTCTTGTGACGTTCCCGTTGCCGTCGACGACGTCGGATCTTAAGGTCCCTATTGTATAAGGCTAAGACGTATCTACGTTTAAATAGAGAATACTTCATGGAAAGTGCTGACGTACGGTATTTACGCACGAGTTGTTGACGTATCAGAAATCGAACGAGTGAGCGCAGCGAACGAGTAAGATTTCTGATACAAAAACAACGAGTGCGTAAATACCGTACATAGCACTTTCCATGTGGTATTGTGTTTATTATATACATACTGAGACATTCATCATTTTGGCGGCCTCTTTATTTAAAATCTTTTAAAAATGCTAAAATTTGCCGCTACACACTGATCGCAAAATGACAACGAAAACGAAGTATCTGCTTTTTAGTAACAACGTTTGTTAAAAACATAAATGACGGTGAGGATATGAGGTAATCCAAGAACTATAAGTAATCTTAGCTGTTTGTTCTCAATGCACAATTGAAAATGAGTGAATTTAAGTAAAATGACCGGTTTCAATATAAGCTTAAGCTTAAATGAAAGACAAAGTAGCTCCGACAAAAAGCACAACAAAAGCTTACGTCTCGTTCTGTTCATCCCTTTCCGCTGTTGTTTCGCCGGCCCTCTACCGTTTTCTTTATCAACAGCGAAACAAGAGAAACTATTCCACTCCATTTCCGAAATGTTTTTCACTTTTTTAGCGAGAAAAACTCTTTGAGTAAAACTGTTCTCGTTGAATGTGTGCGAAGCGGCGCTGCAAGCTGCAATAAAAGGCGGGAATTTTAGCGCCAAACTCACACACCTCTGTGATTTCTGATTGGACGTATCATTTTTCTCACACGTGAAAAAACATCGTTCGCGATTCTGATTGGATAGAACTAATTTGCGTACGAAAATTTACGACATAGCTTTTTGGTGAGTATTTCTCAGTATGTATATAATAAAACGTTTTATCCAATCTCTTTTCTGATACTGAGAGGCTCCCCAAAAGGTTTTTGGTATTCGTGATTTTTTAAGTAAACTTAATGGAGGCGAGATTCGGAATTGAAAGTATGCCCTGCATGCGGGACGGGACTGAGCGAAGATTTGGGTCGGGATGACGGGATTGAAAAACCCTACTGACTAAGAACCTCTTATATTGCCTCTCTCCTGTCTGGCTACAGCCCTGAGAGACCAATCCGTTATGATTAATCTTTGGGTTGCCACGAGACGCGGCGGGGAGAGAGTAGCCTGCGTAGCAAGCGTTTCCGCGCGAGTTCGTCGAGAAAAGTTGGGACGAACTCGATTGGAAACGCTTGCTACGCAGGCTAGGGAGAGAGAAAAATGAGGGACTACAAAGCCCAAGCTTTTGACCTTATACGTTGCTCTCACAATGCATAACTCTCTCCCCGCCCCTTCTCACGTGGGGTGATTTTCACGCTCGTTCTACTGTCCCTGAGGGAACATGGGGACTACTCGTAGTCTACACACTTGCTTAACCTACCTTCTTGACAGCCGTTCGTTGTGTCATCACGCAACGCTCCTGACCGTTGCGTGTCAGGAGCGTTGGGTGATGACACAACACAACTGCGAAGGAGACTATCTGGTGTGTGCCTTGATTCCACAAATTGTGAAGTGGTCTTAAAGAAAGAGAGTCCGCTTTGTAAACCGTGCTTTTCTTTTGGATAATCATTTACTTCTTCTCTTTCCTTTGCAGGATTTCTAACTCCAGCTATCTACTTGGACAAAGCATGGACAGCCAGGTATTTGTTTTCTTGATAAAAGTCCTGTTTTCTCAAATCCAAGGTTTAGTCGAGCTGCTCGTACTCTGCGGGAAAAAAAAGACCTACAAAGCCCCTTTTATATCTTGACAGGCATTTTTTAGCACTCTGAAACTCTTTTAACTCAGAGAAGATCATCGCAGTTATTTACGCAACTTACAGCAGTTGCGAAAAGAAAGCCTGAAAAAAAAATGCACTTTATTTGAGTGTCAATATGTTTAGTACGAAAGTGCTAATTGGGGACACTATTGTTACGTCTCCTACTGGAGACGTGACCGCCATTTTACGTGGTCATCCGAGCCACGCGAGGGTCTACCCGTTTGCAGTGCAAAGGAAGCACCGTCATTTTTAAGTTACTTCAAGACCCTGAGTTTTGGTCCGATCCCGGGAATCGAACCCGTGACCTCGTGCTCTGCAGTCAACACGCTCTACCGACTGAGCTATTCCTGCCACGGCTAAATACTATGTCTGAAAAGAGTTGTGTCATGTTGTTGGAGGACGAAATTGTTCCCTCAGCAGTACGCTGTGGTACAGATCGGCTGCTGTGTTCCACGGTGAATATCTTTCATGGCATTAAACATTTTTTTAGCTCTATCTTAGTCACGTAGTAAGGGATTGCACTACATTCGTGCAATACTTTCCAAGGACTGTTTCAAAAGCCTTCGTTGGAATTCTTATCAATGTACATGCCTTTTAATATTCATTTTACAGCGGTGGAGGCGCGAATTTTGTCCTGTCTACAAGTTGTACAGGTTTTACGACCGTTATTGGTGGCTGTGCCGCCATGGTCAAAGACGGTTATGGAGCGTTTTACAGCATCCAGGAAAATGAGTAAGATTTCTTATCTCTACAAAGCTTTATTTTATTGTTTGGTCGGTTCCTACCTGATGATAAATATCGGAGGTTTTTGAACCACTCTTGCCACTTTGTTTACCAGTTTGTAAGGGAAAGAGTGTAAATCGATCGCGCGTTCTTTTTTATGAGACAAGCACCGTTACATTTGTTTCCTTTCTAGTTCTGGCTGGTTTTTTATGGTACCCTCCAGAGATTGGCTCCAATAACGCACGCCACCTAATGCTAACTAACGCTAACTAATGAAATGTAAATAAAGCTAACCAATCATCGCTTGATTGCACAAGTTTTCGCGCGCTTATGTCAGGCCCTCAGATAAATAAATAAGGGACTGGTCAAAAAGTATAGGGGAGGGTGGGCCGGAGCAGGGAGGGGGTGGGTCATGAGGGTTTGAGCCTTGTGCAAGGGGTGGGTCGTGCATTTTTCAGCTACCCTTAGGGGGTGGGTCACCCTATTTTATTACACAGATAGGCACTAACTACTAACGAGACAGTTGACTACACTTGTTATATAAAACACAGCCAGCTAGAATTATTGCTAAAATACTCGCAAACCTGTTGTGCGAGAAAGTACAAAAGGGGGACAGGCCGCACATCTATACGGGTGTGGAACCCTTAACCTTTTCTTTTTTTTGGCTCTTACGAGCATGTCCTTTGAATGATTTTCCTTTTTTTCTAAGGAAATGATTGGTGGTTCTTTAAAAATTTATTGAGGTCACAGTTGGTTTTGTATAAGATTCCATTTTTTCATTCAAGCTTCCTTTATAGTAGACACTGAGGGCTGGTATAGTGTCACAAATGGCAATATTTCTTTTTCCTCCTTGTTGTTTTGTTATAGGGGTTTAGACTCCCTTTTGTGAATTTTGTTTCTGATAGTATGTTTCCTATCAAAGATTGTGGGTAGCCTCCGTCCATCAAGCGTTATTTTTTAAATTTGAATTATTTTCCTCAAAGGTTGTTTCTGAGGAGTTTTTTCGTAGGATTCTCAAGGCTCCTTCTTTGACAAATGCTTTTTTAACATTTGGAGAGTGACACGAGGTGAAATGTGTGTGCAAGAAGATTTGCCTTTGTTAAAAATGTGTCTTTGCATCAAGGATAGATTTTTCCTTGAATCTTGTGCCTTTGTTTACAACCGTGTCTAAAAACGCAGTCTCGGTGTCAAATGTTTCAGCCGTGAATTCAATGGTTGGGTGATGTAAGTTTGCTTGTTCAATGAACGCTTCAATGTCTGGTTTACTCATGTCCCATAGGGCAAACATATCGTGCATGTAGCATTTCCAAACTGTTGTTCTAAAGACAGTTTTGCTTAGAGTTGTTGTTTCAATATATGTCATGAAAATATTGGCAAAGGAATCAAATCTGCTGTCTTTGTGCCCACTGCAGTTCCATGGTTTTGTAGGTAGTGCTTTCCATTGAAGTGGAAGAAATTTTCTTTGAGGATCGATTAATCTAAGCATTTCCGGCAAGTAATGTGTAGGAATGGGTTGTCTTTGTAGAAATTTTCATATGCTTTGTGACAGACAATTTCAATATACCCTCGTTTTGCTGTATATTCGTGTCAAGACTCATAACGTCCATCGAAACAAGGAATGTTGGGTTTTTCACATGTCTTTTCAGTGAAAGGTATGATTTCTGTGATTTTGATATTGGTTGTGGCAGTGTATCAACAAATTTTGTCAAGCACAGAACAAGGTTTTATTGGAATATTAAGAGGAAACCAAACATCCATGTTTTAACTAGGGGGTGGGTCATGCAATTTCCAACCTTGCTTTAGGGGTGGGTCAGTCATTTTTGTGCCGAAGGGATGGGGTGGGTCATGTGTTTTTTATCAACCACATTTCCAAATGCTCCGGCCCACCCCCCCCCCCCCTATACTTTTTGACCGGTCCGTAAATAACGATTTAGAGGTAGCACGTCCACTTAGTGGTTCTTCGTCTACCTGATTCCTGGTCGAATTAGAATTTGGAAATGTTCGTTTTTGAGGAGAGGGGAAAACCGGAGTACCTGGAGAAAAGCCCCTCGGAGCAAGGGAGAGAACCAATAACAAACTCAACCCACATATGGCGTCGACGCCGGGATTTTGAACCCGGGCCATATTGGTGGGTGGCGAGTGCTCTCACCACTGCAGCCACCCTTGCTTCCCTAATAGATAGTAAAAGGGAACAAGCAAAATATGAGGGGGACTGAGGCTGCGTTCCAATATCTGAAACCCTGAAAAGAGTACCCTGCGTTTCAGCCGGCCCACGCACTCCTCTAATCCATTTGTGTAGTCCTCTATACAGAAGGTTTAGAGCGTCTGCGACGCATGCAAGAAAACAGCTAAATAAAGGTTACCTGAGCATGGACTTCTGTCGTACAAGGGTCTCGCGGGTATTCCATGATAATGAGCCCAAACAAGGACGAAACAGCTGTTCATGGCTGCGACTGCCCGGCGTGCGTAAGCCGTGGGTTTTTTTATTCTGAGTGTTTTCTTGCTTTATGGTGTTTCTAAATAAATTTGAAGCTGCTTTACTTTGATAATCAGGCAAAAGATTTAGATGAAGCTGTTACCTTTCTGCTGATCAGAACCTAACCGAAAGGTTTTTGTTGTTGTTTTCTTGTTAGCATAACATTCTGGATCACTACGTTTACAAACTCCAATGTAACGGATGCCAACAAGTTCAAAACTGCGCTTGACGAAAGTTTATCGGACATGAAGGGCCTTCTAATCACCGCCAAGCTGTGAAATCCATAACAATAGCTTAAAAGCTTTCATGTCCACTCTAGTCCCTTTTACTTAAACGCATACAAACTTCTGCCTTTGCGTTCACACGTAAACGATCCGCTTAACCGTGTCGGAGTTGGCTCAGTCAGAAGGACACTGGACTGGGACTGCAGTGAGTGGGAGCAAGAGAGAGTTCTCTTGGTGGGAGGCAGCAGTTTGATCCGACTCGTTTCCAGGGCTTCCAAATTTCGAGGGAAAAGCCCTGGGAAAGAGTTTGAATTCAATCCGTACACCGGGAAAACGCTACCTTGGGTTCCAGAGGATATTTTTGTCTCATCGATACTGATGGTTCGCGCGCGCCGAGAGAAAAAAATAACCATCTCGGAAGTCTTATCAAACAGTAAGAACGGTTTATTTCATATTAGGTATTTTGAGAACGAACCTCTGGAGCCAGAGTAGGAATACACAGGGTGTTTGAAGTAGATTCATTCAGACGTACTTAACTGAGCCACACGTCAAAATTTTCATGAACTTAACTCACTAAGTTTGGTTCATCTCATGAAAACGGATTACAGTTTCAAAAAAAAGTTTGCAGAGTGGATTTGCTCGCTATTAGTTTGTATGCTTCAAAAAAGCTGAACGGACTGGCCATATGACAGGGGCACCCAACGACAATTTTCGGAAAAATATCTGTTCGGAAGACGATTTGAGATCTAGAAGTTTCGGAACATTTGTTGTAAAATTTCTTGCTTGCCTGCCTCTCCTAGGATTTTCGGACATCTAAAAATTGGTATAATTGCCTATTTTTAACGGATTTTTACCCTAAAAAGGTCACCTAGAATTTTCGGGAGCCTTTTTTCTGGCTACAATTTTCGAAAAGGTAAGTTTTGATCCCTATAATTTTCGGATCACTTGACTTTCAGCTAGGAAATCCGAACAGATGAAAAATTTTTAGGGGAAAAAATGTGTCTATATCTACCGTTTAAATACTGGAATACGTTTAACAATTCTATGTTTAAGTGGTTTTGAACTATATTCTCGTTGGGTGCCCCTGATATGAATCTCTTCACAACGAAATACAGTACACTTCTTTTTGTGGTAACATTTGAAGCAACAGGTATAACATTCGCCACTCTTTGAGTACAGAAATTAATTGCACAGTTTCGTGTACCTTTTCTCTCCTCAAATGGAATAAATTCGCCTTCTCTCGTACGTGCATTGTACAATACAGTGGAACCTCGATATAACGAACCTGTATATAACGAAGTCATTGATATAGCGAACGATTTTCTGTACCCCAATAATATTAAATTATATGAAAAAGAACCTCGATATAACGAAACCTCGATATAGCGAACAAATTTTGTCAGTCCCTTGGCCCTTCGTTAAATCGAGGTTCCACTGTAATCAAGGCACACTACTGTCATGTACTGTCTTCCAACCAATAGAGTAAATCTCAAAATACACTATAAACAGTCTCACGGTGTTTTTAAAGGGACCCTATAGTGAATAACTTGGTTAAAAGATGCAAAAGCCGCGACGGCGGAGCCGGCAGAACTGGCCATGGGTGCCCTTAGCTCCCCCCTGCAACACTCCCACGACCATTTTGCGGAAAGACTTTAATACTAAAAAGAAAGTCTCCTCACTCACGCACTTCATTTCAAGCCTTCCCCTCCCCTTCGCACTTGGCGTGTCAAACACTCATCAAACCCGCGCAGTGCTAGGGCCTTGACATGCACTTTCTTTCTTAAGCGCAGTCTCCCCGGGGATTTTACAGAGAGACAACAGTGCAGGTTGGACATGATTCTTTTTTCAAACAATTTTCTAGTAGAAGTTACAAGTGCATGATTCAGTGATTCAATTATCGAGAGAAAATAACATTTCTTTGGTGGTTGGGAGGGAGTGGAAGATTGCGTGACGACGCTTAAAGCAGGTCCAGGCAAGGGTCACAAGGCACAGGAGTTTAAAGTACAGCTACAGCTATAAAATCACTGAGCTTTATGGCGGAGAATCCCCGCTTTTTCAGACTATGGCAAGCTGCAGCCATTGTATTCTTCATTTGCTTTCTTGTCATGACCGGCCTTTTTATATGGGCCACAGAAGACAGGAGGGACGAAATTGCAAATTGTAAACCTAGCGTTAAAAGTGATAAAGAAGAGACTAAACTGAAGGACATTGTTTGTCCAAGGCAACCTCCATTACTCGATCTACCAGACCCGCTACCAAACGATGTCGTACAAGCCTTAGAGAAGCTAGACAGCCACCTTAAATCTCTAGTCAACCCGACATCACAAACCCCTGCAATATCGGCCAACGTGTTTTACAAAGGCAAGGTCATGTGGTCGGAGCAGTACGGCTCAAAGCAAGCACAGAAATCCGACACGCCGGACAATGACACGATTTATCGCATCGGAAGTGTTACGAAGATATTCCCTGTTCTGCTATTGTTCAAGCTCTTTGAACAAGGTGTGATTTCCTCGGTGGACGACCCACTGAACAAGTACGTCCCGGACTTTTCCATTAAAAATCCTTTCAGCAAGGACAATATTACGCTTCGACAACTTGCTAATCAGGTATTTATTGAATTTCATAATTGATTTATATTCGGTGTAATTTGCATCTCAGAATATTGGATAATGGTAAAATGGTCACGCGATGCTGTTCAAGGACTTTCTTCCGGAGACGACGCGATGAGATAAAAAATTATAACATTTATCGTCCATGCTTTTGAGACCTTTGGAACAACAGCCCTAAAAACAGAACAGAATTCGATTGAATATTCTCTCTGGGCATTTGACTCTTAAGGGTGACTTTGTAATGCAGCCACCAAGTTGCTGATGATAAATCTTTCATAATGCCCCCTATTGGGTTTTTCAAAGGTCAGGTACAAATTTCCGCTGGTGGACACCAGCTAGACACTGAAATAGTGTCCCACTTATGGGGCGGACAGAGGCCTCTTGTCAATTTATAAATTCAATTTAAAGCCACCCCAGTCTAACTGACTTCAAAGGGGTTTGCTACATGTCCTACACACATCTTTTTCCAAAACTTGTCAATGACTTGTTGTTGCATTAATTGAATTCTAAAAATAATGCCCCAGTTTTGTCTTTCAAGACTATATTTTGGTTTTAAAACAGTTACTGTTTCGTGTCATCTATGGCAACCAATGAATGGCATAGGATGGACAATTATTGAAACTTGAAAAAGTCAGTCTATAATCTTGTTTAAGTTTTAATGTTGTGCCTGCAAAAATATCCCAAAAAAGTAGCCTGAGTATGTGTTTCTTGGGGAAAGGGCTGTAATAGAAGAAATGCATCCTCTCTCCCTTTGCCACCTCCCCCTGCCCCCTGGCCCCCACCTTTGCCTTCTACAAATCTCCTCTTCCCTAACCCCAAAGGAAGGCCTGATACTCAAGCGACCAAAAAAATCACTATGGTTAAGTGCTTTGGCCCTGGTGAAATTTGTTTGATAACTTCTTCATAATTCTACAGGAGCATTTTGTGAATGGGTACAGGCACTTGGTAATGAATTCAGCACAGAATTGACCCAGAGCAATAATATCCTCGTAGCCCCTTTAAAATCACAACGTGAGAGAAGAGTTATGTTTTTTAAAAGTTCCCCTTCTCACTTGACTTAACTGACCTAAAATGAATAAATTGATAGCTTAATGTTATGATCTTCAGAAAAGGAGTTTTAAAAAAGTGGTCTATTCTCCCCCAGAAAGGAGGCTTTAGGGAGAAATAAAAAGCCCTGACACTGCACTAAACCACAAAATGCTATCAGTTAAAGGTTTTCTGTTGTACTGCAGCTCTCTGGCTTACCCCGTGAACCACCATGTAAAATAATGTGTGCAGGGACCAACACATCTGAGCAACTGGCATTGTTACAAGACAAGACTCTGGTTGTTGAACCTGGAACCTACCCCTCTTATAGTAACCTGGCCTACATCCTTCTCGGACGATTGCTAACTGAAAGGTACTGTTTTAGTGATTTAAACATTCCAAATCTAATTGGGTTTAGTCTATCCTAACTAAGAGTTGTTGCCTACTTTTCTAAGTTCATCTAATTTCTAAGCATACCTTGCAGAAGCCCCTCCAACCAAACCCACACACACTCTTCAGTTGTACATGTAATAACAAAGCTTCCAAAAAAACCTTTTGGATAGTCTTAAATTTATGAAGGAATGAAAGAAATGTTTTTTAGCTCACCATCTATGGTATTAAAAGAAATCTTTAGCAGACTGTCTGGCCTTTTCAGTTTCATGTCATAAGCAGTTTCATTCCATTGTTTTCCACTTACTTTCCAAGTTTTAAGCAACAACTGTACAAGCTGGTTTACATAATTGAAAATGACCAGGGACTCAGCTGGTTTTTTAGCTCAACTGGAAGAGCACTGCACCAGTATCAGCTAGAGGTTAAGGGTTTGAACCCTGTGCAATTTAGAATTAGCCTGATTTTTCCAGAGTTTCTTTCCACAACTGCAAAATTTGAGTCTATAACTGCAATGATCTTTTCATTTAACTGTTCACATTTTCTTTTTACTATTTGTGCTATTTTTAACTTCTTGCTGCACTTGCTTGCCCTTTCAGACTCTTAAACACAACCTTTGAGACTTGGACAACTGAGAATATTTTGCAGCCATTGGGAATGTTAAACACTGGTTTTGGGACTCCAAACTCATCCAACATGGCTCCAGTACCCATGTTTCCAATGGATCTTGGTTGGTTTGTTCCTGCCGGTGATATGTACTCAACTGTGGCTGATCTTACTAAACTAGGATATATGTTCGCTCAACCAGGAAAGCAAAATATCTTCAAGGTATTGCAACTTGGTGTTTGGAAGTCAGAGTTGGCCAGGGTTTTGGGGGTATACAGTATATTGGAGTATTTAATTTCAGATATACAGTATTTTTATGCTTAACATTGGGTATAAAGTATTTACTTATGCTTAATTTTGGGTATGAAGGATACCATGATTTTCTATATACTGTGATGTTTTACACAAGTTTTAGTATATTTTCTGGTATATTGGACAGTTTATTTCAGGTAGTTTGGTATCCCCCCCCCCTACAGCTGACCCTGGGAAGTAGTTGATGGCCCTTTGATTCTTGGGTCCTATTGATAATAAAACCCTCCTAAGTGACCCACTCTGTGTCCGGGGGGGGTACTCCTTATAATGGCCTATGCGGAGAGGCTCTGTCCAAAAGGGGTACCTTTTTCAGGCTTCAGGTATATCAAAGGGTGGGGATTTCGCTAGTTGAAGTATAAAAAAAGGTAGGGAAATCTGTCATTGTGGTTTTTGAGGACCTAAAAGGGCTAACAGGTGCATTTTATGACCGTGAAAAAGACAAGAAAACCTGACTTGATTTAGTGTGATATATTTATATTTAAAAGATGGTGCATTTACAGCAGTTTAAAAGGATGCAGGATTCTAAGCTGGTGTGTGAAAATGGTACCGTTTGTTAATAAAAGGTTTAAGAAAGTACCTTTTTTTTTTCAAAAAGTGTATATAGAAAGGGTAAGAGGTTGGACCTTGGGACGGATCCTCTGTATAAAATTTTTGTTGAGTAACCCCCTGGGTTCTGTGTAAGAACACAACAGAGTTACTATCATTCTCAAAGAGATGGGGACTGGGGACTGTTAATCAAAAAGAAGAGAAGATTAATTTTAAGGTATTTAAACCTGTTTGCAATACACTGTTACATAGACCTAGGGGGTCAAGCTATGAAGAGCACTTGCACCCTCCTTCTTAACCTTGACTCCACCTTTCTTGGCCTCTTTTGGATCCAAACCAATCTTATAATCAGAGTTTCACGTCAAAATGACTGCCACGCCTTAATGGATCAAGTTTGTGCTGTAAATAAGTCAATTTATACAGTTAACCCTGGTCATTTTTTAGTATTTTGGCCATTTAGAAGTATGGAGTTTAAATGCTATTGGAACAGGTCCATGGGAGCCAGGGACAATAAGGGGGGCGCTAAATGGGCAGGAGGTGGAAGTTCTAAAAGGAATAGGAGGGGGGAGACACAGGAGGGGGTACACAACGTTGCTTGATAATTGCAATGGGAGAAAGCCAAGAAACACAGGACGCAGGACAGACACAGGAGGCGGGAGGTTTCGACCCCCTTCTTCCCTTTCCCCCTCTCTCCTCCTCCTCCCCCAGGGAGCCAAGTGAAACATGCGGGAGGCTAGAGGAGGGAAATTTGGACCCCCTGTCCACCCCGACAGGTTTGATAAGGGCGGCTTTTTAAGGGGCAGATAAATTATTCTATCATAACTTCCAGGAACAGACTATTCGCCAAATACTGCAACCGGACTACATCACGCGAGGTGGTGACTATCTTTGGGGAGCACCGTGGGAGATGCGCTTCATGGATGGTTTCCTGATAGCAGGGAAAGCGGGTGGTAACACAGCCTTCACGTCCATGGTCCCAGCACTAGAGCTAGGCATGAACATACTGATGAGCGTGAGTCCCGGAACGTCCTTCTTACCGGCCGTAGATGCTGCTTATCTGGCGTACTCAGTTCTACTTCCCACTCTAAACAAAACCTTGTTTGCGCTTCAGGCCAAAGTAAAAAGTTTCCCAATTGATCCAACACCGTTCCTGGGTAAATTCCAAGGAACCTCTCTGGATCCTACCAAGGGTGTGACTCATTCTCTAACGTACACCATCACTGTTGACAAAGGTTATCTCTTAGCCATAGACCCTGCTAAGCCAGACCAAGATCTGACACTATCCTATATTGGGGAGCCGCTTATCCTACGTTCTAGACCGGCTTTTCAGGAAGGCAGCTGTCTTATTGAACACATTGGTTTAGAATACGGCGTCTACTTCAGCCCTCCTGACAGTGATGGACTATCCCAGGGATTTACATCTACGTGGATGACCTTTGTAAGGGTCGAAGATTCTTGATTCTCCTCTTATAGTATTTTTGTGTGTGTTTTTAGCCCTTTTATTACCTTTGCATATGGTTTTATAAACTAAGTTAATAAGGTGACTTTGTGTTCTTTACCACTTTAGAAGGTGCGAAAATCGGAAATTCCGATTGTAAAAATCTTTTGGGTTGGCGCCATTTCTTTTGGGAAACCTCAGGAGATACGGGCTCTGATTTGAGGCGACGCAGTTTTCCTCATGTTTTCAATCTCTTCAGCTAAGTTTGTATATGTATACTTTGTAGCGGGTCCTTCTCCCACATCGTCAAATTTTTCAGTATTGTTAAATACTTTTGCACAAGATTTTCAACCGGATGGTTGGTACTTTTGGATGGTATAAAACATCGATAAACACCTTTGGACTCCGTGTTTGCCTTTGAGTCTTTGAGCAAGCCTTCTTACTCCGTCCGGTGAAATTAACCTCCTATTTTATATCCTTTGCCTTAATTCCCGACTATTGTTGGTAAATTTTGATCTCATGACAAGAAATTCCTTTCTAGTGGTTATAACTGGGTCAAAATTTCCTACTTTCCCCTCTCCAAACCCCAGGACCGGGTTGTTCAAAGCTGGGTTAAGATAACCCAGGGTTAGTGCGAAATTTAAATTCAGATATGAAAGCTTAACAAGTAAATTCAGTTTAATTCTTTTTGTCAACAAGTTGATGATTGGATGCTCTTAAAAATAACAGAGAAAATTATCCCAGAAAATGCTTTTAAACAAAAGAAAAAGAAACCCGGGTTAAATTTAACCCTGGGTTAAACGCTAATCGGCTTTCGAACAACAGGGCCCAGATTATTTTAATAAAATTACTTATCACTTAGGGTAAAATAGTGATCTTCAGGAGGGGTAGTAGGGGGGTTTGTGAGGAACTCAAAGGTAAAGGGTGACCCTTGTGTAAGCGGCCGGTGAGAAGCAGAAATCAATTTCTGGTTGAAAAGAGAACCTTGAATTCGGGAATGACTTCTCTGGGAAAGGTGAGATCAACACAAGTTAATGTGTTTCAGCCTCCTTTTCATTTTACCGTTTTCTTTTCCACCTACACAAGGAGCCGGCGATCTATTGAATTTTTTATGCTCTGCGTGGTGCAAGCAATTTTAAACAATAAAAATATTGCAGAAAGTTTAGTCACAAATGTTTTTTTCGGCGCGGCCGTGTGGGAGCCATTCTCTTTAGCAAAGCCCCTCGATATTTTCCAACGATTCGGCAACAATGTCACCAAAAGAAACAACGGGCTAAGATGACGAAAATGCGGTGGGACAAGGGCAAGTGCATTCTCTCACTATAAACCTTGTAACGACTTTCCCACTTTTCTTCTTTTTTTCGCCTGAAGAAGTAGAAGAAGAACGGCGTGTCCGTCCAAAATATCGCCGTAAAACTCACTGAGTCGCTATTGTCTTTGCTGTTTTGTTACTAGAGTTCATTTGTATTTTCAAAGATGAGTCGGAGCTCTTCATTTCCTCTGTTCACGTGATCATCGAAAGCCACGAAAGTAAGACTAGGTCATGCGCAGTAAGAAGAGCCTCAGGACATTCTCGTCCCCAGAGCCACTCGGCTTAATTTGTAATCGACCAGTGGAGCCCCTCGTTACCAAGAAACGACGGTCTCTGGGGACGAGAATGAGCCTCGGGAATACAATGATTTCTCTTTGAAATATAGTCTAACCCGGTTTAACAGACACTGTGATACCGAGGGGGAGCATAGAAAGCGTCCGTATTTAAGCGTGTTGAATTTAGAGAAAACGTAAGGGGTTTCTTCACCTGTGTACAGACGCCCCTTCCCCACAAAGCAGCTAGGGCTTTCTTTCCTCAGGGACAAAACAAACTGTCTATAATTATGATGTGTCCGTAAAGCGGCCCGGTTTGACTGTACAATGACGTAGTTCTATGATTCAGACTCATTTAGCCTTATCGCCTTTGTTTACTCGCTGTGTACAGGGGTCTAACCTTTTAAAAAGTTTTAATTAAATTGTCAACGTTTGATAGATGGATGGTACAGCCGCCTATTATGTTCATTGATAGTGAGTCACGTAGTGATTTACAAGTGACTATAATTAACGGTAACCAGAAACTATTAAGCAAAACAAAAAAAAAGCCAAAATGAAAAGAAACTCAGGCCCGTTTGAGCCTCAAAAATTCCATCACGTTTTAATCATTAAACGGGTCAAGTGAGCTACTGTAGTTTGTTAGATTCCAATCTTTCGCTAAACTGCACACCATGAACATAACGGCACTGCAATAAATAAAAACATTGCTGACACTGCGATGTGCCACTTATTACAGTCATCTGAAGATCATGAAAGAAACAGTACAATGAACTAGAAGGACATTTTACTCGTACTCATCAACGCTAAGAGTAAGAAAACGTCAATTATTAGGACCCTCGTAGCAGGCCTCTTTGTAATAGCTCTTAAAATTTAGGAGTGACTAATTGTATTAACCTTTATTCTGTGCATGAAATAGGGAATCTGAAAAACAATTCGTATAAATTACAGGGGCACCCAACGAGAATATAGTTCAAAACCACATAAACATAGCATTGTTGAACGTACTTTAGTATTTAAACGGCAGATAAAGCCTTATTTTTATCCCCTAAACATTTTTCATCTGTTCGGATTTCCTAGCTGAAAGTGTATTGATCCGAAAATTATAGGGATCAAAATTTACCTTTTCGAAAATTTCAGCCAGAAAAAAGGCTCCCGAAAATTCTAGGTGACCTTTTTAGGGTAAAAATCCGTTAAAAATGGGCAATTATACAATTTTTTTGAAGTTCGAAAATCCTAGGAGAGGTAGGCAAGCAAGAAATTTTTCAGAAAATGACCCGAAATTTTTAGACCTCAAATCGTCTTCCGAACAGATAATTTTCCGAAAATTGTCGTTGGGTGCCCCTGAAATTATATTGAGTATTATTCCACGTGGTTTTGCGACACAAAGTCAGTTCAGTGGTTCCGACTTTCGGGTGTTAGCGCGATCCCAGTACAACAGTAGTCTTCGGATAGTAAACTTATTTTAATCCAGTTACCCTTGGCCTTAATCGTGATGAGATAATAATTATGAATTACTGGTATTGTTTAAAGGACATGACAGTTGAACTGATTTACTGATATTTCCTTGTCTATTTTATGCAGAGCTAAAAATATAATTGGTATCTGTTTTTTCTAGTTAGGAACGTACAAATTATCTCACTGACTGGGAAATACTTCGAAGTGTGGTGCTATTTACACAAACGTAACGACATCACGCAAAATAAAGATGGCCCTTCAAGTCAAATGTGGTCTATAAGACACATCAGATTGATTTTACTGTATGTTATAATCGTCCAAAACCATAAAGTACAAAGTTGTCTTGTCTGCTCTTACGTTACTCTCGAGTTATATATTCACTGGTTTCTTGACGAGCCATGAAAAGAAACAAGGTGGCATTTTGGCCCTGTCAAGAAAATTGAACTCGACATTTTTTCCATTTACCAGTATTAAAAGAATAATGTAATACTTGTCAACGAAAACGCGCTATGCGGCTTCACTGCACTAATGAAACAGGAAGTTTCCTTTCCGATATCAATTGCTTCGTCTACAGATCGTACGAAATGTAGTTAAATTCAAAAAGTGTCATAGCAAAAAAGAGCATTAAGACAACGGAAGGAGTTCGGCGTTTTAAGTTGAAACTTTTACAGCCTTTTTGAAAATGTAAATAAATCGATAAATTAATCAAAACAGCTTTGCAAGAGGATGTTTTGTAGTGTCGCGCCAACAATAACAAAAAGGTAACTGTCTAGCAGAGTACCATGATTACATTCACTAACAGAGGTATACATGTATACAGGATATATATAAATGAGGACAGTTCTGATAAAAAGTCTTCCGTTGTAGCCAAAACAATTAGGTAGGCTCATTTAAACTCGGTCTAGAAAAAAAATGAATATAAAAACCGGTTCTTCTCGTATAAAAGATTAAAACGGGGCCAAGAAAAAAAAATATTGTAAAACTGGACCTGTAGCCTAACACAATATAAACCACGTTCCTTCTAGGGAAACAGAATTTGATGTAACAGATCTACAGTGCACTCAACAATTTAAAGTGAAATGAGTTTTTGAGTTGTAGCCAAAACACTTAAGTATATCTTATTAATTGCGTGCTTTCGAGGAAAAAGTGAGTAATTAATGATGAGCGACTTAATAGAGCTCCTGCGCGCACGCAACCCAAGTAATTTGGTGTATTTAATAAACCATGTCCGTTCTACAAATTATAGTTTTACTTAAAAAGAAAAAAGCCAGCCGTTAAAACACTAAATCAAGACTTCATGAGTTGTAGCCAAAGCTATTCACTCTTGACAAAAACAAATTTATTCAACGCATAAAAAGGATTTTTTTTAAGTCAATAAATATTGCATTGCAAAGAAAAAAGTAATAATTATTTTTCAGAGTTTTTAGACTGAGATGCAGTCTCAAAGCGGTTAACATGATTGAAATAACAAAAAAATTATATCCCATTGAAGTATGTCAGGTCAGTTTCAGTCCAAAGCTTGCTTTTTCATTTCTGGAAAGCCTGTAGGTGTTTTTACTTGGTGTATTCTGCGGTTCAGTTATATTTTCTATAAGCCGGACTGGAATTTTCATGACAGTATTTTACTTAAAAGAGCGAGGACTACAAACCTGGCAAATAGACGTATGCAAAATAAGGTTCCTTCTACATTTTAATTTCCCCATTTTGGTAAATATACTCTAGATACATAAAAGATATATTTAACCTGCGAAGCAGCACCTGTTCTTTAAAGGGGTTTGAGATACTCTCAACACCATAATTCTGAACACATTTCCTTTGAAAGACTTTTTTAATTTATATTGGAAACCAAAATATTACTAATGCAAAGAATTATTGCAAGATTGATTACTCCCAATAAAGAAATACAGCAAAGCACAAACAGAAAAGTTGATTATTTTCGGCTTCGTGCCAGCGCCACGTACGCTTTGACCGTTGCCGCAATAAACATCGACGAGGGCTAGCTTCGGGGCTGGGAACGCTTCATCAACCCACGCCAAAAAACACTTCGGCCGGTGGTATTGAACACATTACGATCTGGTCCAAAGACTCAGAGGTAGTTTCTAAGCCATCAAATGGCTTACTGTTCCCTTGCTTTGAACAGGAATTAAATACGGCAGTTTTGATTTAATAAATCTGGCAGTCAGAGGGAGATTCTAGAAGTCGCCAAACCCGGTCACACCTTTATTTTGAACGTCATGCTCAAATTCTTACGGCTATCCATGCTTTAATAAGCTCGACAGGCGTTTTTCTTGTGCGATATTTCTACTCTCAAAAAACAGCGACATTTACTCTTTTTCTTTTCTATTAAACAATAAAATTCCCATCACTTAAGGTGTCTAATGTTAAAGCAAAAGCGACGCATCGATGTAATCCTCTTTGCTGACTGTTTGAGAGGTTGAATGTCACTTTTCATGTAAAGGGATTTAACTGATTTGATGCCGCTAAAGAAAGAGTGATATCAGTAGAATTTCCTGAATGCCGCATATAGCCTTAAAGACGTTTCTCGTCACTATTTTTCTGCTCTGATTGCAGATTCTCTCTTGCTTCTCCAAGTAACG